CCTAACCCTAACCCTAACCCTAACCCTAACCCTAACCCTAAACCTAACCCTAACCCTAAACCTAACCCTAAACCTAACCCTAAACCTAACCCTAAACCTAAACCTAACCCTAACTCTAACCCTAACCCCAATACTATCACTAACCCTAACCCTAACTCTAACCCTATCCGTATCGTTAGATCTCGACATACACATAACTCTAACCCTACTGTATCTTAATCCTAACCCTAAGCCTAAATCTAACACTAATATTGGCCTTTGCATTTCCCTAACTCAAACCCGAGCTCTCGACCGACACATAACCCTAACCTTGTCCATTCCAAATCCTAACCCTAAACCTGATCTTAAGACAAACACTCTCCTTTGCACTAGCTTTGAACCTAACCTTTGAAACTAACCCTCGCCCTACCCATTGCCATATCTCTAACTCTAACCCTAGCTCTCGCACGTGCATGACCCACACCCTACAGCACTGTATACATAACCCTACACTTAAACCTAACACTATGCAGCAGACACACAGTAGCCCTAACTCTCATCGCAACGCTAATCTAATCCCAAACCAACTCCCACAAGGCAAACACACTGTAACCGTAACTTTAACCCATATCCCTAATTCTAAACCTAACCGTAAACCAAATCCTAAACCTAGCACTACTCCAAACCTAACCCTAAACTTACCCTATCCCTAACACAAACGCCAGCCCTAAAACTAAACAGAACGCTAAGCAAAACCCTTCGCAAAACCCTAAACTAATCGCTAACCCTAATCTTACCCTTAACCTGTCCGTAACCCTAACCCTAAACCGACACCTATCCCTAATTTAGCCCTAACCCTAATCCCAACCCTAATGCTACACTGCGAACACAGTGTAACCTGAACCCTATGCCTAACCCTAACCCTAAATTAACACAATGCAGCAGACACACTGTAACCCTAGCTCTAACCAGATCCCTAACCTCATGCCAAACTTCGCCTTACATGGCAAACACATTGTAACCCTAATCTTAACACTGTCCCTAATCTTAACCCTAATCCTAACCTTAACCCTAATGCAGCAAAGACACTGCAACATTAATCTTAACCATAACCCTAATCGTAAACCTAACCCTAACCCTAAAACTAAACCTAACCCTGACCTGGCACAGTAAGCATTCTGTAACTCTAACCCTATGCCTAACCGTAGCCCTAAACCTAACAGTATGCAGCAGATGCACTGTAACCCTAACTCAAACCGGAACCCTAACCTAATCCCAAAACTACCCCTACATGGCAAACACATTGTAAACCTAACATTAACCATAACCCTAAACCTACCACTAACCCTAATCCTAATCCCAACCCTAATGCTACACAGCAAACACACTGTAACCCTATGCCTAACCCAAACCGTAAAAATAACACTATGCAGCACACACGCTGTAACCCTAAATCTAACCGCAACGCTAACTTAATCCCAAACCTAACCCTACATGTCAAACACACTTCCTCCCTAAAATTAATCCTCTTCCTAAGACTAACACTAATCCTAACCTCACACTAAACTTAACCCAAACCGTAACCTTACCCTAATCCTAACCCAAATCCTAACCTAACCCTAACCCTGACCCTTACCCTAACCCTAACCCTACACAGCAAACACACTATAATCTTAATCCTAACCCAAAATCAACCCCTAACACTAACCTTAACCCTAACATTAACCCTAAACCCTAACCATAATCCTAAACCTACACTGTGGACACACTGTAACCTTAACTCTAAATATAGTTCTAACTCTAACCCTAATCCTGAAGCAGCAAAGACACAGTAACCCTAACTCTAACCCTACCCCATCCCTAAATTTATCCCAAAACCAACACATAACATTAAGCCTAACTCTAATGGTATGCAGTAAGCAAAGGGTAAGCCAAACACTTTCCTAAACCCAAACCCTAAACCTAATCCTAACCTTTAGCAGTGTAACCCTAAACCACTCCCTAACTCTGACACTTACCCTAAACCTAACACTGTGCAAGCAGACAAACTGTAACCTAACTCTAACTGCAACCCTAACCCTAAGGCTAACCATAACTCCAACATTAAACCTAACCCAACCTAATCCCAAACCTAAATCCATGTGGCAAACACACTGTAACCCTAACGTTAACCCTATCCCTAACTCTAACACTAAACAAAAACCTACTCAGCAGACACACAGTAACTCAAATTCTAAATGTAATCTTAATGCTAACCCTAACCCTAATGCAGCAAAGACACTGTCACCTTGACCCTAACCCTAACCCTAACCCTATCCCTATCCCTAACCCAAAAGCTGATCTGAACCCTAGTTCTACGCAGCAAATACACTGTAACCCTCACCCTAACCCAAACCTGAACACTAACACTACACAGCAAACACACTGTAATCCTAACCTTAACCAAACCAACCCCTAACACTAACCCTAATCCTAACGCTAACCGTAAGAAGCAAACACTCTGTAACCCTATCCCTATGCCTAACCCTAAACCTAAACCTAACACTATGCAGCAAACACATTGTAACCCTAACTTTAACTGCAACACTAACCTAATCCCAAACCTAACCCTACATGGCAACCACACTATAACCCTAAACTTAATCCTATACCTAACCCTAACACTAACCCTAACCATCCCCGCAACTTCATCCGCAGATGCCTACTAAACAGACAACAGGAGGACACAGTACACCCTAACACACTGACCACACTGCCCTACATCAGGAACATATCAGAACTGACAACAAGATTCCTAAGACCAATAGGAATCATGGTGGCCCACAAGCCCACAGCCACTCTACAACAAACACTCACAAGGATTAAAGACCCCATTCCCATAACGTGCAGAATGAACGTGGTTTACAAATTACCGTGCAATGACTGCCACAAACAAACAGACACAAATCGGACAGACAGGAAGGAAACTCACCAATAGAATACACGAACATCAGCTGGCAGCAAAACGGCACGACAAACTCTCCTTAATATCAGTACACTCAGACAATGAAGGCCATCAGTTTAACTGGGACAAAGTAACCATAGTAGTCCAAGCCAAACATAGACACACACGGGAATTCCTAGAGGCATGGTTCTCCACCCATACTCCAATCAACAAACATACAGAATTGGACCCCATATACAAACCCATACAGATCAAAACCAGAAATGACACTACTCACCATGACGGACCGGACAGTATAACTTCCAAGCGGGGTAGAATAACATCGCTTCATTGGAGGCTCCACTGATGAGTCACCTAGCACAGCGATGAAACATCTGAACAAAACCAAGCCAGCTCAGCGAGCAAGTCAACAGCCTCACACTTAAAAGAACTCTAGGTGCAAAACAAAGGCAGTTATATCTGACATGGTCTGTGATAAATCATTGCTTCAGGCAACAGAACAGGCAGGAGAGCACAGTATGGTACTGATGCCTCTCCAAAACATAGTTATTATCTTGGCCAATACAGTGTGGAGCTGGAGGAACACAGCAGGTCAGGCAGCATCAGAGCAGCAGGAAAGT